AATTTTAATTCTATATTGCGGTATCTATTAATACTATGAAAGAATTGATAAAATGTTTCCATTCCCTTTTAAAATTTCATTTTCTGTCTCTTACCTGGTATAACAAATAAAAATTATTTTTCAGATTACATTTTGAAATATTCTAATGCCTCTTTGTTGGCTAGGTAGCTTTGTAAATGACTTGTTGGTTCCCGTAACTATATAGTAGCAGCCAGCGACTTGTCGTCCCTTCCGTTTTAATTTTGTGGGCTGTATTATTTCTACGTAGTTTAACCAGATGGCATTTACATTAGTGTCTGAGTCCACTTTTTGCTGCTGTAGTAGACTGTCACAGACAAGTCACTTACTAAGAACAGATGTTTTTTCTTTACATTTCTGAAGGTTGGGCGGGACAAGATTCCTGCTGTGCTTTTCTACAAAAGGCAGAAGAGCAAGAATGAGACAAAAGGGGGCTGAATTCATCCTTTGTAAGGAGCCCATTCCCACCACAGCAACCTTAGTCCATGATGAGGGCACTCCTGGACTGAATACCACCTAAAATACCACCTCTTAATATTGTTATGATGGCAAAAGTTTAGGAGGGGGTAATCAAGCCTTGGTAGTCTGTTAGCCAATCTTCACACTGTTTAAAAGCCTTGGTTCTGTAATAAAATATACTCAGAGCTCTTCCACAGTCCTCTGGCTGGTTTCCTCGAGTATGTTTTGGTTAATTGAAGTGCGCATTTTAGCAAATTCCTCTCGTTTATGAACAATATGCTCAGATGCCTTGAATCACTGAGTATCGAGATCTGAATATCTGCTTACTTGCTTATAGGATTCGTGTGTGTGTGTGTGTGTGTGTGTGTGTGTGTGTGTGTGTGTTAGAATGACTAGAATCATTACTAATCCATTACTTGCTGTGGACCATTGTAGGTCAATTTGGTTAGATTCCAGCATTTTTCTACTCCCTCTTTTAAAATCACCTTAAGTTCTAGTTTTTATAATGTTCAATTTTCTACAATAACCTTCGTTGTTTATTGATACATTGGTAAATTACTTAAAGCAATTTTGCTTTTGTTTTATCTTTTTTTTTCTTGGTTCTTCCACTTTTAAAATGTTTTCCTTTTATTTACTTAAATTTGCGTATAGTAAAATTTACTGCTCTTGGTGCAGAATTCCCTTGGTTTAAATAAATCCAAGTAGTCATCTAGGGGATGACTTGACTAGTCACCACTAGAATCATAAAAGTTTCATCACTTCCCCAAATTCCCTCGGGCTTGTTCTTTATGGAGCTTTTTATTGATGCTTCACCAAATTCTTATTTATTACTCATCATTGAATGGATGGGATTTTCTTGGATACGCTGCTTGCACGATACCTCAGCTGTGGATCAGGGTGGGGGTATTGGCTAGCCTTCCACTCCTCTCACCATTTTCTCTGTACTTCCCTTGGTGATGGCTCCTCTGTGTCATCCTGTGTGTTACCACATTCACCTACACTGTGCTCTAGCAGGCCCTTCCACCTTCATTGCTGTGCTATGACCTAGAGGGATGGGATGGTACATTTTACATGGGAACCCATCCCTGCTCCCTGTCTAGTCACTCTGTGCTTGCTTGTTGTCTTTATCCCTGTGTGATATTGACTGCAGCTGCTGGGCTGATTCTTGTGTATTTGTAAAGTCTGTGGATGATATGATTTGTAGCTTTTTAAAAGAATGTACGGTTTTGCAGTACGGTTATGCATTCACATATCTTCCAGGAGGAGAAAGAGCACCTGAGTCTCACAGGGCCACACTTTCCAGGCTGCTTCTGCTCACCATCTTTCCCTGGTTCCTCCTTCTAAGCCTGAACTTTACACTGACAGGACAGAAGCAGCTCACCTTTCTTATTCATCTGCAGCCCCAAATGCTCACACAGAAACTCCCTGCTTGTTTCTACTCCTCTGTACTTGTTATGGACACATACTTTCTTTCAAAACTTCCATTTTTTTCCTGCTTTTCTTTTAGGTTGGAATTTCCTTTTCTTCCTTTCTAAATGGGTGTACTCATGCCATGCTTTAATGCATTCACAGACACTTTGCTTCCTTTAGGAACTCTTTCTTGACACGTCCTCATGGCAGAATTAATGTCATCTATTCTTCTACTGTATATTATCCCATTTTTAGAGCATTTATCTTGTTGCTTTCCATATTTATTAATCTGTCATCAGTAAGCAAATGAAAACCTCAATACCAGTCTAGTAACTAAATGCAAAATTTCAAGGCATAGCTCTGCTGTGACAGTCAGCACTTACTCTCATTCAGTCTCACTTGATTTTTTACATATCCAATTGAAAGACAGGATATTTCATTTCGCCTAAATTTCCTTTTTTATTCTTTTAAAAATATTTCACTTATTTTATTTTATGTGTATGAGTGTACTGCTACATGTATGTAAGTGCACCCATATACAATGCCTGTGGAGGTCAGAAAAGGGTGTCGGGTCCCCTAGAACTGGAATTACAGATGGCTGTTAGCCATCACTGCAAGAACAGACAGTGCTCTTAACTGCTGAGCCACCTCTTCAGCCCCTCATTTTTATTTTTATTCTTATTATTTTTAATTGTTTTTGCTTTTAAAGTGATTCAGTCATGTCATACTCTCCCATTCATAGGCAGCAACTGAACCTCCCTTAATTTTAGAAGTTTTATAAAATTTGAGAAAACCCAGTCATTATTAATGGATGTTCCTCTGCACTGCAGGTGATGCAACAGTGACAATAGCTCACAGATACACTCCCAGAGAACGACTGAAGGCCCATACTCAGCTAGCAGATGTTGTCATAGTGGCTGCAGGTAACTCTCTAGCAACTGTTATTTGATAGAGTGACATTGTGGAGTAATTTCTGCCCTAGTTTCTGGCACAATCAGAAGAATATGTGGGAGATACATATGTGGATATCTATATTTATCTATCATCTATCTATCTATCTATCTATCTATCTATCTATCTACAACCTAATCTTTTATATATCTATCAACAATAGCTGTGTTCTATCTATCAATCATGAAACATAAGAACAAATGAGTGCTTTTCCAATTGCTTTGACAAACATGATTGAGCAGCATTTATAGAAAAAAGTCAGTGTGTGAAAGTCACTATGGGGAAAAAATAAAATGAATTTGTTCTTTCAAATTATGTCAGTGAAAATAGCATGTACAGGTGAGAAGAGGAGACAGATGATCACTGTGCTGCATTGACCATACCCAGTCTTATGTGCTGGAGTCTGGACTTTAAGGGCAAAGGTGATACATCACCCATGTCTAGAGGGGAGCATCTGTCATAAGAATGAAGTTTCCACCAAAGATAGCATGCAAAGCTTGGTGTGATGAACGTGGGATCTTTGGTTTGAATAAAGAAGGAATTTGGAGACGATATAAAAGTTGTTATTTTTTTAAGCATAAGGAAAAAGAAGAGCCAAGGTCAAACTTGTTACAAAAACAGTCACCGGCTCTTGAGCCAGCGAGTTCCCTATCGCTGCGGTTATTGGGAAGAGGGATGAGGACGTGAGCTGGACACTGTAGAGGACACTTTGACTATTTTCAAAATAAACTCTTGCCTTATTCTGAATGGCATAAATATTTTACACTCTTGAACATTATCAAAATATTATAGTGGATCAAATATCATGATTGAAACACAAGTAAAAAGAAGTATTTTAAGCGTTTGTTCTCTGTGGAACACATAGGTATTGCATCTTTCACCCCCACCTTTGAGGACCATGCTAAAGAATGTCTCGGCATGAATGTGGTGTAATGGTTTATACTCATTGAACTCTGTTTCCTCTAGTCCTGAGATTCTTTATTCTGTATTTTTATATAGGAGAGAATTCTGCATGAAATGTAATACATATGTGTATATTTGTATATATTCATTATAAAATACTTAAATTTCTTTCTGACATTCACCAAAGTAAATAAGTTAATCAGGAAGATATTTTAAAACCCAGAAAAGGCTACAGTATAGAGGGCATGTATGTGGGTAATTCACTTAGAAATGCTGAGAGTCTAGTGTGCTTTTCTGATTTTATCAAACAGAAATATTTTCAAATAGCAAAGAAAGTATTGAACTCATCCACTTAATAAACATTGAAATTTTACTGTGAAGTAGAAGCTGTTTTAAACTGTAAGGGTATTACATTTAATATAATGATGGCCCACCCATTATAGACCTTATCTTTTGGGGGAAGAAGCAAATAAACAATCCACTATAATGCCAGGTAAAGATCAGTGCTGTGACAAGGTTTGGTGAAGGAATAGAGGTGCATGGAACAGCATTTTAGATACTGGTCAGCGAAAGTCTTTTTCAGGAAGTGATCTTTTAGTAGACCACTGTCCATTCATTTGATCCACCAGATTCAATCCGTCCTGTCCTGTTTGGGCCTGTGGATGCTGATTTATGAGGACAGCCTGATGTGTGTATTTCTGCTTCTGGCATCTGCCAAGGTTCAACACCACAGGGGATTTCAGAGGAAAGGAGAGAAAAGTGAAGACAGGTTATTTCTTCTTTCTCCTTTGAACCCCTGCTGTGCCTGGGGCTTCTGTTAGGGAGCCTCTTCCTATAACTTGAGTTCTCACCAAACTGAAGGAATGCCATCTTCTCTACCCACTCCTTCAGGCTGGGGGTATATAAGCTTCCTCCAGTTTCTAATCCCCCAAGGCCTAACAGCCCTTCTTTCATCACAGCTCTGAACAGATAGATCCCTGTAATAGCTCCTTTATAATCTTTCCTTATATGATGGTCTGAGGTGGATCCCGGGACCCTCGTGGGCTCTGATTGGTTGCTGATCTGTATGAAGCAAATGAAAAATTCAAGGAAACATCTGTGAGAAAAATATTCCAAGCAGAGAAAACAAATAGAAAAGTTCTTACAGAGGGGAGTCTTTCATGTTCCAAAATGGAAACATTACCTAAGGGTTGATCATATATACTACTCCGGTTTTAATTACACATTAATAAAGTATGTGTAGGAAATGCTAATGGGAAGGTAGCCAAGGCCACCTCATGTAGAACCTTATGAGGTCTTTGATGAAAGGCAAGGATGGAAGAGGCCTAGAGATCAATAGCTCATGTTTCTAATTCATGTCTGTGAGACTAGATAGGGGAGAATTAATTCTGGATAGGAAAGAGTAGAAACAGAGAGAAAAGTTATTGCAATTTCATATAATGAATCCAGAATTTCCCCTTTTCTGGCTTAGCTCTTGGCAAGTAATATTTGCTTCTCCATTACAGGCAATTGTTGTATTTATTCCTGAATCAAAAGCTTGAATGAAGCTTTTATCATTTTGAAAATTAATTATATGTTAGGGATAATTTCTAGACTTTAAACTTCATGAGTAATTATAAATGGTGGAGGGAGAGCAAAAGTTCTAGTTGAAACTAAGCTTGATGAAAAGAAAAATGACTTTTTAAATTAGTTTCAAACAAATCTAATTCAACTTCTTATTCTTATATAGACGTTTGTCTGAAAATGGTAACTCAGGAGGAGGCAGTAATTTGTTTCTTACCCAATAAGAGCAAAAATGTTCCCTTTTCTAGTAGTCATTGGTAAACTGGCATACTTAATCTTACTTAATCTTACATGAGGAATTATATTTAGATGATATCAAAAGCAAACTTGAATTGGATTAAGAGAAATGAGGCATTATTTAGAGAGGCAACGTACTTTTCCAGACCGCAGATCCACATTAGGTGAGATACTGCTGCCCCAGCCATGCATTCTTGGGAAATAAATAGCATTCTGACCTCTTAGAAACGCTTGTATTCACACAGAAGATTCAGAATTTGGTGAGTAGAGCATTTGAGTGGCTTTCTTTTCCATTTCTAACTTTAAGTAGAATTAATTGTAAAGTGTTGTTTTTAATGTTAAAAACCTATAAACAGTACCTTGTGTTGTCTTAGTTCCCATTTATCAGTTATAATATTGAATGGGCATTTTCTACCAGTGGAGCAAAATTTCTCAGTCTGCATTTGTGCCCATGATTTATTTTGCCTTCATGACAAATGTCAAATGAATGATCACAATTCTTTTGCAAGATCCACTGATTGTCTCTTGTAACTAAATCAAATCTTATGCCACAAGTCATGATGCCCAGTACTGTCACCCACCTTTAAATTTCTCCTATGGATTCCATTTTAAATCCTATGTCAGAATTGGGCATACAGAGTTACAGAAGGCAGGAAGGGCAAAAAAAGGAGGGGAAGAAAAAGGAAGACTTGTGCTTATACACTACCAGCACAGTGGGAGCCAGGAGGTATAAGGGCACCAGGGTCCCTTGATGACTAGGTCTCTACTACAGCCATCTCACTGGCAGCGTTTTCCTTCCACCAGAGGGCTCCAGTGGTGTGTGAGCAGCTATTCTAGATGAAAGGTAACTTGGCCACCTTGGAAGGAAGACATTTGAGGGAAGGCAGTGGGACTAAGTCCTTTTCTGGCTTTGTACTTCATCTTAAAGCCTCTCACTGGATGCAAAGAATGTTGGAAGAAGCCCCACATTGTCCTGTAGGCATCCTGAAGAAATAGCTATTAATGGAACATTTCCAGGAAGAGCATCAAGACTTTATGAGAACAAAGTAAAAATTACTCTATTTACACTTCATTAATAGTTTCCAGGAGAATTTAAGAAACAGGTAAATGCTAGTAAATTGCAGTAATAACAGAGAAAAAATGAGTTAATTCTAAAAGAGATTCCATATAAACAGGCAGTAGGAATAAAGTATTACTAAAGTGACCTCACCATGCATCCTGTGTGGGAAATGAATAAATACAATTAGCAGTGGGTATTAGAGATGTAGATAGTGATCTAATGGCAGAGGTAGCTAGAACAGGGAGGGCTGGATCAGTGTCACAACCAGAATGTCAGCATATATGGAAGCAGTCCCATCTAGAAGTCAGGAAGACTAGCAGGAGGAGTGGTATGATGTGTCAGAAAGATCGATAATCCTTGAGAAAGAATGTGGTGATGAAATCTGGAAATGGGCTTGCAGAAGAAAAAAGTGAAAGACATTGTTGTGCGAAGATCCCAAGACATGATGATATTAGCTTATATTAATCTCATCCCTCCAGTTTCTCATCTGGCTAATTTTATAGGTTTAATTATATGTCACTTAATTCTTAAAGATCTACCTCCCAAACTGATATTTAGAATAAATTAGGATCTCAAATTTGAAAATAAGATCCTGTTAACCTATGCATTTAGTGGGCTTCAAGTCTACTGAAAGCAATCATTCTGGGTTCACAAAAACAGTTAGTTTCTAAGACACTTAATACCTGGTTGAAGTTGTCTGTCATCTTCACTGGAGTATGGCAGGATTGCGGGAACAGGGATGGCCTAATTTTTCCTCTTCTTCTTCTAGTTCTTCTAGTTTTGTTGTTGTTGTTGTTGTTGTTGTTGTTCTTCTTCTTCTTCTTCTTCTTCTTCTTCTTCTTCTTCTTCTTCTCCTCCTCCTCCTTCTCCTCCTCCTCCTTTCTCCTCCTCCTCCTTCCTCTCTCTCTCTCTCTTTCTCTCTCTCTCCCCCCCTCTCCCCTTTACTCAGGCATATTGGTTAGATGCATTTTATCACTTTGCATTTTTCTTGATATATTAGAATTAGTTTTATATCTCTCTGCCATGTACTCTGTATTTTTTCATTTTTAATCTTCAAACACACTAAACTTATATTAAGCTATGTCTAGTCAGTTTAACATTACCCAATTAGTATCACATTCATATGAAAAAAAACAAAAAGGTGATCTAAGTTTTGTGGGGCTTTCCTTTAATCTCAGCACTCAGGAGACAGAGGCAGACAGGTCTTTG